GAAACTGTCACTGAGATGGATCAACTCAACAGCCAGAACAATGAATGGTCTCAAACACGCCAACCATCATGAGGATGGTGCAGGACCAGGTGACATTTTGCTGTTTCACCATGAATGGGAGCCAACCAAGAACGAACTATAGACCATCACTGTCAGGACTGAGAAAACAATCCCTCAAATCATTCTGAGGAGCTTAATTTTCTTCCAAAACCCAAGCTAAGGAAGACTGGCTGCAAGTATAACTAAATACCATTTCCAAATACCAAACTGTTGGCTTCTAATCTGTATTTTTCTCCTTGAAGTAAAGTCTCCCACTCCCTCTCCTGATAGGAAGCTCAACAGATTGCCACAGGAAGGGCTCACAGTGGGGGCCATGAGGTCATACCACTGGGTCTTCTGAACAAGCAGCGGCTTTCCACCAGAGATGGTGCACCCAACGAGTGGCCCAAGTTGTTGTCCAGACAAGAGCAGACTGTTTTGCAATAGGAGAATTTTCCAGGACAGGCCTGAGAGATACCTGAGGGACACAGATCAGGCCACCCCCAGGACTGTGACAGACTGGGGGAGGGGGCTGCTAGAAGGCATTTAACATAGAAACTGTATAAATTAAGTCAAACATTCTAATTTGATAGCTAAGAAACTGAAAACTTATGTAAGTAAAACAACTCATTTGAAACACACTGGCACCCATATCTGCCAACTTTCAGTTACTGTCTCCCACCTAGGCAGGTTACCCACACACTCATGGACATTTTGATACTGAGAGAAACTAAGAGTGGATCTTCCTGAACATTCAGGAAGCAATTCCTACATGTGCCTGTGTCTCCAAAGGCAGCAGCTATGATGCATACCGACAGGTGAGCCTGCCTCCCTTGCCAACACTCAGGAACATTTTCTAATCATAATTAAGGACTAAGAAGGACTCTGCTCTATGAGCCACTGAGGCGCTAAGTAAACTCCTCTCAGTTCAACACACTTCATCTCACTATGAACAATGTCATCACAATGTTCACTCAGCTGATTTAATGGCACCAATCAGAGAGGACAAAGGACCAAAAATCTGCAAAAGGATGTACCTTACAGGAGATATGTTTGTTCCTGGTGACACCTTAAGACTTTGCCTGCCTATCTCTCGACAAACTGTCATTTCACCAATGCTGTACACATGGATGTGCAATAGTTTAATGAAGCCCAAACAGACTTTGAGCAATTTGCCCAAACTCAAAAGAACTTGTAAGCTCTATCTCATCTAGGAGAAAAGATATAGCTGTGTCACCTACACTGTGATGAGTCCAGGCAAAGAACCTAGTCTCACCTAACACTTGTATGTCCAACGGCAAGGGGTTTGGAGTGCCCAGGCGCTGGGTGGGCCCCTCCCTGCACTGGAGCATTGCCACGCTGTGCCTCCTAGTGCTCGCTCACTTATCTGACGCTGGCATCCGCATGTACACGGGTGGGCTCAAACACTCTAGTACCCAACATGCCAGATGGTCAGAGGCTCCCGACAGTCCTGTGGAATCCAGTAGCACTCTTACCTGGTGCCACTCTTGGAAGCACTAGCTCTGACAGTGCTCTTCAGATGGTAGGGTGCAGACTCACTTCAAAGGTTTCCTTCCCCTTCAGTAGGTCTGGAGTGGGGCCAATAATGTCCATTTCTAACTAGTTCCTAGAGGATGTTAATGGTGCTGGTCTGGGGCCAACATTGTTAAGTACCAATGCTATAAGGCACATCTCAAATGCAGCATTTAAATAAAAGCACCACATGTAACATTCCAGGTGGTCCAAAATCATACCTTGCAATTTCTTTATTAACTCTGCTTCTCATTTCAGCCTCTTCAACTGCACTTCCCCAGTCTGAACACCGAGAACGAGGCTTAGGGCCTTCGGGAGTGGTGAAGCTACAAAACAAAACAAAGAGGCGCTGTGAACCAGGCCACGTACCATCAGTCTCCTTTAAAACTCTACTGTGGCTGTGTAGTGTAATGCCAGGACCACGAGTTTTGGAGTAGATCAGATGACAGAGAACCTCTGAAGCCTGACTGGGTTCCAGTTGTCAAAGATGCTTCATGGCTAAGTGTGCCAGCATTCACTAAACATGGGGGCACAGTGGGTGGGGAGACAGACACGCGAAGATACAAGTCGGTATCAAATGCACCTAATACAGCTCTTGTTTGCAAAACAAGGATCCTTTTTTCTCCAGACTGTAAAAAGATGTTGGATATGATGATACACATTTAGTGGGAAAGTGCCAGAATGCAACAGTGTGGCATGTGATGTACCTTCAGGTGCACATAATCAAAAATTCGGAACATGTTACACCACAATGAAACACCAAGGGATAAGTGCAGATGTGAGAATCCTTGACACATTATGATTTACTCTACTGTTAAGGGACCTGTTGTTTGTTGTTAGGTGTTGACCAGTTGATTTCAACTCATAACAAAGAAAAGAAGAACTGGCCCACAGGGTTTCCCAGGCTATGATCTTTACAGAAGCAGATTGGCAGGTCTTTCTTCTGTGGAGCCTGCAGGTGGGTCAGTGAAAGCTGTGTGCTCCACCACTGTGCCACCATGGCTTCTGAAAAGGACCTCCTAGTTGGGCAATCCTACTTCCGTAGTGATACTGCCTCGGAAACCCAAGGAGGGGTCGCTATGAGTCGGGTTTGACTCGACGGCACATAACAACAACAACAACAGAGTTGGTTAAGGAGCCCTGAGGGGTAGCGGTAAGCACTCAGCTGCTAACTGCAAGGCTGGCAGTTGGAACCAACCAGCTACACCACAGGAGAAAGATGAGGCAGACTGCTTCCATACAAATTACAGCCTCACTACTGCCAACTACCCACAGGGAGTGAGTAGTCAGACTTGTGGGCTCCGGACCATGGTTGCAGGGAACGTCAAGCTCAATCGGCATAACATACTACACAAAAACTGTTCCACATCCTACTTCGGCGAATAGCAACTGGGATCTTAAAAGCTTGCAAGCAGCCATCTAGATGCAACGATGGGTCTTTCCTCATCCAGAGCAAAGAACAATGAAGAAAACCAAAGACACGGAAACAATTAGTCCAAGCAACTGGGACACCTCAGCCTATACAACTATGGAACTAGATGATGCCTGACTACTACTATCAACTACTCAGAGGGGGATCAATGTAGGAGATCCTGGATTGAGTGGGAGAACAATGTGGAACAAAACTCCAAATCACTTTTTTTAAAAAAAGGACCAGGTTTGCTGGCATGATAGAGCCTGGTGGAACCACTGAGACTATGGCCCCTAGCTGCCCTTCGGGTTCTGGATTTGAACCCACTCCCATGGCTTACAGCCAAGCAAAAGGCATATGAGCTCAACAATTGCATAAGGTAGAAATACTCCTTGGAGAAATCAATTACTCATAGGAGAATAGAAGGGCTGTGTATGCATAGGGAGACAGTTCGGAGAGCAGGAATGCATGGGAGGGAAGGACACAGGGAGGAGTTAACTATGCGGAGGAAGTGAAGGGAGCTGTTACACCGTAGGAAATTGCAGTCAATGTCATGAGACAAAGTATGTGAGCTGCTGTATGGAAAGTGAATTTGCTCTGTAATCTTTCACCCAAATCACAATAAACATAAAAGGAAAAAAAAATTACAGCCTTGGAAACCCTGTAAGGCAGTTCTACTTTGTCCTATAGCATCACTATGAGTCCGAATAAACAGCAACAGGTTTGGTTTTAGAATTGGGTTAAACCTAATCCAGAACTCGGTTCTATCTTGTGCCCCCAAAAAATCTTTGGTTAAGATCCAGCAATCTTAAATGTTAAAAGCTTCAATGCCAAGAAATCTTGCAGTTGGAATTGGTGGTATCTGTTGTTTATAGATTAGGTCTAAAGTTACTACATTTTTACTTTTCCTCTCCACTTCCCTTGGTCACCACTGAGGTATCAAAATTTGACACAACTTCAACTTCCTTTTATGTAATTACACTTTTTTCCATTACAATGACACCATGCAGCTCTCGTGGATAGTACCTAAGACATTTGATTGCTAACCAGAAGGCTGGCGGTTCAAACCCACCAGCCACTGTTCAGAAGGAAGATTGGGCAATCTACTTCTGTAATAATACTGCCTCAGAAACCCAAGGTGGGGTGGCGTCACTATGAGATGGGTCCAACTCGACAGCAGTGAGTTTGGTCTGGTTTTGGTTCATGCAAACAAACCCAAACTGGATTCCTAAATCAGTTTCCATATCCAAAACATGGTGGGAAAGCTCTGAAATCAAAATTAGCTTGTTAACAGAAAGTTACATTAACTCAGTAATTGTGTTAGAACTAGTAGCCTGGAACCAAATGAAGGCCTGATCAGGGCCAAACGTAGATATCTTACCCTGCATCAAGAGGTTCAACCTGGGTCTCCCAAGTGATCGACTCCTGAAATACAATGTTTCCACATGCAAATAACTTACAGAGAGCTTAGGACTTATTGGCAGTGTAACAGAAAAACCCATCCACAGATCACAGATCTACCTCATCTTAGGAACAAAAGTACAAAAAACAAAACCAAACTCACTGCTGTCAAGTCATCCCGATTCATAGCAATCCCCCCTGGATTTCCGAGGCAGCATCTCTACAGAAGTAGATTGCCCAGTATTCCTTCCGCAGGGTGGCTGGTGGGTTTGAACCACTAGCCTTCTGGTTAGCAGTCAAATGCCTTATAAGGCACTAAGCCACCAGAGCTCCCAGGGACAAAAGTACTCAGTGGAAAACAAACTCTGTTTTGCACTCTAAACTAATCTTCCTGCAAGTGGCCTGTCCACACCGCCCCACCCAGTCAGAAGTCAGCACCCCTGTAGACAGAGCTGTTCCTGCTGGCCCGCCTCATCAGGGGCTGCTGTCACCTCCCCACTGGAGCAGCCAGCAGCAGTACTCAAAAAGCCAGCTGTGCGCCAGTGCCACACCACTAGGGGGCCCCTCAGGACACCAGGCTCCAGGAAGGGGAGTGCTTCTCTTCACAGCCACTACTAAAGCAGGGCCTGGTTATAGAGTAGGTACCTCTGCCATCCTCACTCTCTCTTCCAGATCATTCTTTCTCATTTCAAGTTAACACCATCTATCACAAGCCCACAACCCTCCCGTCACAACATGTTGCCTCTTAGTTATCCCCCCATCACATCTCACACGAATATCAGATACATTCTCACTCAAGATGTCACATCAGACTAGCGACACTCCACACACACACACACTCACTCATACACACACACACACACACACCAATGCCTGATGGGTTCCTGCATCCATACTGAGCCAGGAGCAGAGGATACAGTGAAAGGAGCACAGGCTCTGTTCTCAGGAGTGTCAACTCCAGTGAGGGGAGCCAGTTGAAGGAGCTGCTGCAACACCTCAGCACCTCAGGTGGTGATAAAGAGCGATGGGGGATCATGGGGTTGCTCACTGCCAGGGTGAAGGGAAGGTGGGAGTCACTTAGCACACACACAAAAAACACCCAAACTCTCTGCCATCCAGTTGATTCTGACTTGTGGTCACCCATGAGTTACAGGATAGAACTGAGCCCAACAGGGTTTCCTTTTGAGGAGAAATCTAATCTTCATACCAGATCGCCAGGCCGTTCTTCTGTGGTGCCAGTGGGTGGATTCAAACCACCAACCTGTAGGTTAGTCTCAATAAAAAAAAGAAAAACTCACTGCCATCAAGTCCAATCTGACTCATAGCGACCCCTCCTTGGGTTTCCGAGGCGGTATTTCTACCGAAGTAGATGGCCCAAACTTCTTTCCAAGGAGTAGCTGGTGGGTTTGAACCACCAGCCTTCTGGTTAGCAGTCACATGCCTTAGGCACTAGGTCACCAGAGCTGAGTGTAAACTGTGCCACCAGGGACCTTCCCTAGGACACTGAAGGGCTCAATAACTGACCAAAAAGTGAACCAAGTTTGGCTTACACCTGTGACTAGGAAATACTTCAACCAGCCAAGCATTTCAGTCACACCGTGTTGTAAGTGCCCTAACTAGCCACGAACGTAGCCAACAAATTCAATCTCCCCCCCATCTCCCTCCCATAGGTCACCTTACTCTTAAAGGCAAGACCTCCACAAGCCGAAAGTAACACAGAAACGGCATCTAGGGGTGTGTGTGTGTGGGGGGGGGTGTCCTATGCGCCTTTCAATAAGGGGAGCGAAGTAGAGGAGTGTATGAGTGACACAAGATTTTCAAAAACCACAAGCCTCTTCAGTAGCCCCGCTAGTCTGTCCAGCACCCCTTCCATCAAAAAGATAAAAACCACACCGGATCAGCGAGTGGCGCAAACGGTTTGCACTTGACTAATCCGAAGTGGTGGCGCAAACCACTCGGAAGTACCACGGGAGAAAAGCCTGGCGACCGGCTTCCTTAAAGACCACCGCCAAGAAAGCCCACGGAGCAGCTCTACTCTGTCCCACAGGAAGTCGCCATGAGTCGGCACCGACTCCTCTTTGGTACGTGCCCCGCAGAACGGACAAAAACGTCCTGTGAGCCTGCGACCTGTTTGAACAGCAACCCCCGAGGGAACCCTGAGGTTTGGAACGCCCCGGCGGGCCCGCACCTCTCCAGTCGGTGATCCCCGTGCCTGCGCTCCTGGTCGTCGGCGGACGCCGAAGAGTCGCTGTCCTCCGGCTTCCTTCGCTTCCCGTCGGCTCTGCGCTTCCGCCCCAGAGACCATCTGGTCGGGGAATGCGAGCTGCTCACAAAGAGACGGATATCGGTCAGCGCCGGCGCGGGCCTTTCCCTGGCTTCCCCCACCCCCGGCCCGCGCCGCCCGAGGGCGCCCGCCCGCTTCCGGCCCGGCCCGCGGATTTCCAGGCGCACGGCCCGGCCTCACCTGGCGTCTCCGTACCGGGGAGGGCTTCGTGGCCGGGAAGCCATGGCGAGCGCGGCGGGGGAGAGCGGGTAGGCGCGCGGGACGACGGTGACGGACGCGAGCGGCGGAGCAGAGACCAAAAGGACGACTTCCTTTCCCGCGCCGATGCTGACAGACTGAGCGCCTGCCCCGCCCCCAACCGCCTTTATGAGGCCACGGGGCCCCGCCCCTCTGAGCTCCCGCGCGCGCCCGGGTAGGGCGCAACCATCGGTTCTACGCCAGCGGGGGAAGCCTAGCTCTGCTGCGCGCGCCTCACAAGCTGTCTAAACTTGGAATGAGTTGCCAAGTCTCGAGGGATGGAAGAGTCTTAACTCTGGGTGCTGCCGTCTGGGGAAGCGAATTGACGCGGTCGTATTCATGAGAAGAGATTCTAGGGAAAGGTTGCACCCCTTGGGTATTGAGGCAGACGGGCCGCCGCGGGCCCCTCGGAAGCTGATTGGCTACGCCTTCGCGGGAGGCGGGGGACGGGTATTGGCGGGAGATTCGGACGCGCGCGGCACGGACGTCAGAGGGGGACGGACGATGCGTCATCGATTGGGCTGGGCTAGAGTGGAGGTTCGTCTCTGATTGGCCCAAGTCCGGGTGGGGCGCGCCTCCGATAGGTCCCGCTTGATCGAAGCTCGTCTCCCATTGGCTCCGCCCAGATTGGCGCGCCTTCACGCTGGCGGGAAACCTGGAGTCCTGAAGGACGGGTGGGTGGTGGTTGCTCCTTCCGACGTCGTTGCGAGATAACCCGGGAGCTCCTTGAGCCGTGGCCGCCGCAGAGTTCTAGAGTGCGTGCTTCCTGCCTGTTTGTCTTCTGGTCTCCGCTGGACTGCCTCTCCTTCCGGGTGAGGCAAGGGCGGACTGGGTCTGCCTGAGACTGCACCTGCGTCTGCTTCTGTCCATTGCGCGCCCTGAGCCGTTGATGGGGGACGGTGCGACGGAGGCTGGGATGAGAAGCACACGGTTCGGGCAAGGCCTCTCCGAAGTGGACTGTTCAGCCGAGCGTCGAGGGAATCACAGACCCTGAGCGAGGAGGGGCCCGGGGATGGTTGGGTGCGTGGTGTGAGAAAATGAAGCTGGGGTGCAGGAGTCAAGCGCAGTCCTGTGGGCCCTCTTCTCCCGGTGAACCCTTGCAAGAGATGTCTGCTTGGCCCCTCCATCCAGTCCGACAGTGTTAGGTCGTCTCTGGCGGCCCCTGACCCCATGCTGTGCAAGAGTGTGCAATCCTGTCACCACCCAACTCAGCCTGAACCGTTCCTTCTCCTCCTCCCCCACCCCCCATTTTCCAGGTTCTCCTCCTTCTATGTCCCTTAAAGAAGCCCCTCAGTCATTTCCTACGCTCCATGTCCCTTCCTCCTGCTAATGTCCACGTTCTCGTCCCCCTTGTGCCCCTTACGAACCCTAGCTGTGTGTTCTAACTGGAGTTGAGACTCACTGTTGGTTTTTCTCCCCTGCTGCAGCCTGAGTCAAGCCTGCCCTGCCATTTCGGCTATTGTCCACTGCTTTTCTTTGACCCTTCACTGGACTGTGACTTGGATCTGGATCCAAAGCACCACTGACCCAGCACCCTGAACACTGGTCCATTGTAGCCTAATAAGAGTAGACTTAGGGACCCCTGGTGGCGTAGTGTCTAAGACATTTGACTGCTAACCAGAAAGTTGGCGGTTCAAACCCACCAGCCACTCCGCGGAAGGAAGACTGGGCGATCTACTTCCATAAAGATTTAGCGCCTTGGAAACCCAAAGAGGGTTACTATGAGTTGGAATCGACTTGATGGCAGTGAGTTTGGTTTGGGGTTTTTTTGGTGGTGCAGTGGGTAAGTTCTTGCCTGCTAACTATCACCAGCTGCTCCCCGGAAGAGGAGGAACTCGGCTTCCCTCAAGATTGACAGCTTTAGAAACCCTATGGGGCAGTTCTCCTCTGTCCTCTAGGGGCGCTGTAAGTTGGAACCTCCATGGCTGCAGGTCTAAGGGTAGACTTTGATTCTTAAGATTTTGCGTGTACTCTTGGGAGCTCTGGTAGCGTAGTGCCTAAGGCACTTGACTACTAACCAGAAGGCTGGTGGTTCAAACCCACCAGCCACTCCCTGGAAGGAAGATGGGGCAATCTACTTCTGTAGTAATACTGCCTTGGAAACCCAAGGAGGGGTCTCTATGAGTCAGGTCCGACTCGACGGCACATAACAACAACAACTTGAAGGTAGTAGGAGTACTAGGCTTCTTGATCTATTAGGTACCAACAGAGTAAGAAAGAAGATTCCCGCGTCTGAAATTCCTGCTAACTAGATGTCTTCTCACCACAGCCCTAACTCTGCTTTCTTGCTGGCACAATTTTACAAAGATGCTCTTGAACTGCTGGTTCAAACCTTTTGATTAGCAGCCAGATGCCTTAACCACTATACATACCACCAGAGCTCCTTCCATCCCTGCCAGGAATCGTAAATTGGAAGAGTCTGTGATTCTGTAGGAAGGTGCTGTGAGGTTGGGGGAGAGACAGATGTCTGCCTTACCAACAAGCAGAATCTTTGAAGTGGTGGAATTGTTAATTGCGTGTTAGTAAACCAGAGCGTCATGACACATTATCAAAAAATAACTGGCAAAACTTGGTGCTATCTGAAATTTAGACTCTCACCCAACATCGTGAAGAGTACAGAAAACACAATATAAACAGAACCTTACAAGTAAACAGTTAGAAAAGCTTGAAAAATTTGACTCTAGACAAACTCCTACAGGGTGGACTCCCATTAAATAGAACACATGTTGCTAGTGTAAACAAAAGGCCACTGGGCCCAAGGCTGCCCCCTTACTCTCCAGACTGCTGACTCCCCTCCAAACCAGTCCCTCTACCATCAAGTCAATTCCAGTGCAGTGACTAAGACAGAGTAGAACTGCCCCAGAAAGTTTCCAAGGCTGCAAACCTTTACAGAAGCAGAGAGCCTCATCTTTCTCCCACAGGGCAGCTGGTAGGTTTGAACTGCAAACCTTCAGATTGGCAGCCAAGTGCTTAACCACCACACCACCAGGGCCCCTTGACTTCCTAAGATGGACGTAATTATCAAATACCCATAGTTGCCACTCAACTCAGCAGGAGAAATTACTACGCTACCTGTGGTGGTTTTGACCATTTACGCCGTCGTTTACCCTGTCCGAACCACTCGATTCACGGGTCCTCTCAAGGGCCACCGTCCTCAACCCTGGGATGCAATGAGTTCCTTTATGTGACCTTTCACCTTGGTTCTTTGGAAAAATAGCTTGAGAGCGTTTCCCTCTAAGTTCTAAGGAGCAACCCCTTTGCCCTAATTTCTACCCCAGAGGATTTATGACTTTAATCCAGGTTGATTGACATTCCCTGGGCAGGCTGTAAACAATTTTGTCTCATGGGGTGCAGCCTACCCTGTGATTGGTATGTATTTTGCAGGGATTGGCAAATCTACCCATGCAAATGAGGTGACCACAGCCTACTATGCACATGAAGTGCCCATGGCCTACTGAGAGGGAGACTAGTCAATTTGTACCCTCCTAGGAGTTAAGCTTTGAAATTCGTAGTGGTGGGGGGTAGGTAGCCCCATGGGATTTTTCACACAGAAAGGAGAACAATCAAGAGAGAAGAGACTAGCAGAAAGGAGGCAAGGAAACTCCTAAAAGCTGTAACACAGGTCAAGGGCTGTGACACCAAAGACAGTGAGGGGCCCTGTGGCAGAACTGGTGACCGAGAGGAGGCCTGCGTGGCCGAGGAGCTGAGCGAGCTGTGCTCCACTGAAGAAGGGAGACTTTACCTGGCTATTTTCTGACTCTAAACCTGAGTTGTACCCTCTCCTTTAATAAACCCTTTAACTCTAAGTAGGGTTCGTGAGTTTCACGAGAGTGCAGCGAACTGCCGAACCGAAGTTGGGGGGGGCACAGTGCTGAGCACGGGCGGTGGCGGTGGCAGAGCAGCCGGTGGTACAGCAGCCTGAGGAATATGGGCATCTCGGACATACTTGACCCAGGAATCGGCTTGCTGCTGATTTTTGTAGCTAAGGTGATTCCTTCGCCTGGTGAGTTGAGGTGGGGTTGGTTCTCACTCACGGCAACTCCCTGGCTAACAGAACCAGACCCTGCCCCATCCCACACCATCTTCAGAACTGTTGGTCTGTTCCAGTGCTTCGGTGCGGCCACTGTGTATCCTGAGGGCCTTCCAACCCAGGGGGCTCAGCTTCCAGCCCTGGAGTGGACCGCGTTCTGTTGTGAGCCATAAGGTTTCATGGGCTCATTTGCACAAGCAGATCACTAGGTTTCTAGTCGATTTTCTGAACAGAACCAACCCCACATTGCAGTAGGCCCAACGCTTCTATTTCAAAGATCGCTTCTCAAATGTCCCCTGGTTACTTTCCCCCAATTGTTATAAAAACTTGAGTTTAGAGTCAAGTAAATCAAAACATTTCATTTAGGAAAATCATGTAACTTCAGCCATTTTATTAAATACAGTATCGTGCAGTTACAACAGACCTGTCTTTATAAAACTAAGTCCATTTATTTTGTGTAAAAAATACCCTCACTGCCTGGCCACACCTGAAACCTGACAGGTAGATGTGGCTCTGCTGGCTGGCCACTCACTGTTTCATTTGGGAGCTCCCCCAGGGCCCATGGGGCAGGGCCTCTGCTCCTAGGGCCTGGGTCAGATGGCTCAGCCTTGGCGGGACCTGTTACACTTGATGGGAGTGCCAACATATAGGGCTTTAGGGCAACAGGACTGAGAACTCCAAAGTGAGAGAGGGCCCCACCAAGGCTAGCAAGTTCCCCCATCATCCCATCTACCCCACCTCGCCTGTCCCATCAGGAACTGGGCAAAATGTCTCTCAGTGTCTTGACCCTCAGGCACTGCCCTCTCTGAACCAGGTGGCCTTATGGGCTATGGTTGACCCGTGCTACCTGCTGGGAGATCGTTTCTGGGTGCAGGGCTGAGAGTGTCACAGGGAGCAGTGGTCTTCAACTCAGTGACATTGGGCCCAGCAGCCATGCCCTAGCCTTGCCTGGATTTGGAACAGCAGAGGCACCCAGGACAGACCAAGTGCTCCTCACAGAGCAGGACAGGCCCCCACAAACAATGGTGAGGGAGTGGACAGCAGACGGCAGCCAGCCCTTAGCTGGCCCGGGAGGGAGGAGGCACTCAGCCTGGTGTCTCCATGGGCAGGCAACCTATGGAGCCGGCTCCAGGCCGGCCCTACAGCTGTCTGTGGCAGTCAGCTGGTCTCAGCCCAGTGGCACTGACAGCCCCCATGTGCTCACCCTCCACGTCAGACATCCAAGCTGCCCTTGCAGCTGGGGGACGGGAGGCCGCGAAGCGCAGGACCAGCTGGTGCTGTGGGCCAGTCGGAGATGGGTGGGGCACCCCAGCAGGACGCCCCTCCTGGGTCACTAGGTCACACCGGGAGGCGCTGGGCCTGTTCCCACACAGGGCCAGGGCATCCCCAGCTCGAGGCCAGTTCAGAAACAAGGCCACAGCCTGGATGCACCTGGGTCTGCTTGTAACCAAGGATCAACTGTGTTCCTTAAATTAAGGCAGGAGACGCAGGTGAGGAGCCCAGGGGGCTGTGGAGCGCCATGCAGACAGCCCACCTGCTCTCTGTGCTGAGCACCTGCCCCCACCCCGCCCCGGAAAAGCCGAGAGAGGCGATGGGAAGGTGCTGAGGAGCGGTGGGCCAGCCGTCCGGGGCCTGCCGGCGGCCAAGTTCCCACGGGCCCTGTAGCAGATGCCTTCTTTCCAGAACAAACTCCACAACCGCGCAGCCCCGGGGCCCAGGCCAGCGCTGCCGGCCACTTTGGTGTGCTTTGAAAGCCCTTTGCGGACCGGCCAAGGGTGGGGCGCGGGGCGGGGCTCCCACTAGCCCCGCCCAGCAGCCTTGAGAGCGAGGGGCGGGCGCAGGGGCGGGGCTGTCAGCGGACGGTGCACACGTCCAAGATGCAGAAGCGAGCGCGGCAGGTGGGGCAGGGCACGCGGCTGGCCAGCCAGGTCTCAGGGCGCTGCGGGTCCTGGCGGCTAGCAAACCACTTGCCCATACAGGTCAGGCACCACATGGGGCGGCAGTAGCACTGCTGGCACTGCCCGGCGTCCGCCTCCTGGCAGGTCTTCACCAGCTTCACGGCGGCGCGTGTCTGCATGCAGCCGATGCACGCCTCCAGCTCCTGCACAGACAACCGGTCGGCGCAGCTCGCGGGGACCCGCCGCCCCTGCTGCCCGCCCGCGCGCTCCCCACCTGGCTGCTAGGCACGGAGTAAGCCGGGTTGACCTCCACCAGGGAGGCGAAGGTCTCCAGGAACAGGTCGCCCAGGCTCTGGCGGATGACCACGTGGGCCGCGCTGCGGATGGGTGCACGGAGCTTCTCACACAGCTCGCCGTACTCCGCCGAATTGAGGCTGCCGGGAGCGAGAGCCTGCCGGCGTCGGTGCGCAGCCCGGCTGCTCTCACAAGACCTGCTGCCGAGAGCGCCGCGGGCTCCAGCACACCTGCCCCTGCCGTGGCCGTTGGGACGGACAGGGAGGCCAACGACGACAGGACTCGGGACACAAAGCGCCTGGACTCAGCAGCAGGCTCACCAGGTCCCAGAGGCGTCCCCACGAGGGGCCAGGGAAAGCCAGGCACGGGGACAGAGAGGCCTGGCAGCCACCATGCCTCCTGTTCCCATATGGTCCTCAGATGGTCCCAGTGCACTCCACCAGGAAGGAGGCTCAGGGAGGAAGGTGTGGGCAAGAACCAGGGGGCAGATGAGTTGGGGAGGGAGACAAGAGGGGCAGAGGAGAAGGGAAGCAGGCTGCAGGCACAGAGGGAAGGCGGCTCCCAGGCCGCTGCCCCCACACCATCCTAGATTTCTGCTTATTCTGACTCGTGTGTGCCCTGTGTGGCCGGGCTGCCCCGGCTGGTGCCACACACAAGCCCTGGGTGTGCTGGAGGCCACCTGTGCCCAGTGCTGCCCAGCAGTGCACCCTCACACAGGCCCCTGGGTGCACACCCACCCAGGAGTGGGTTGTTTGTGGTAGGGCTTCCAACTAGCTCGTTCCTGTTCGACCCTATGCTGAGAATCTGCACTTCTACCCCAGATATATGGAATCCAAATCCCAGAGGGAACAGAAGTTCCCAGCAGGGAGTGAAACAGGTTGGCAGCCCCGGCCTTGGAGTGGAGCGAGGCCACACTTACCGGATGTCAAAGGCCTTCACGTAGGGGTTGGTGCTGGCCACCCGGATGGTCAGGAACTGCACGGGCAGGTTGGACTCCGGCGAGAGCTCATGCTGCCGCGACTCTGTCACAGTCAGGTGGATGTCCTGTTGCTGGGCCACGTGGACACTGTATGTGGTCACCTTCATCACCCAGGTGTCCGTCACGATCACACGGGCACCCGGTGCCCCAGTGGCAAACTTATCAATCCTACGGAACTCGGTGTTGACAGAGGTGGCGACGGCCCGCCAGCCAGACTGCGGGAGGGCATATAGTGCCAGGGTTCGGGCCAGCGGGTGGTGGGCCCACTGATCATGTGACCAGTAGTAAGTGAGGATGCCAGCTGCAGCAGGGAGGGTCACCGCCAGCACGAGGAAGAGCCTCCAAGCCTCCGGGGCCTGGCTGGGTGCGTAGAGCTGCTTTCCGGAGGCCGCGAAGCACATACCCGTGTAGTAGCCTGCAAGGGACAAGTGAGCTTCAGCAGCAGTCAAGGACTGGCTAGGCCGCCATCCACCTCCCAGCGGTGTCCACTGAGGGCCAGCGTGCCATCCCTGTGTCGCTGGAGAGTGCTGAGCCTGGCCCTCTGCCCTGGTCATTTGAGACCTGAACAGCTCCTAAGGTAAGGCCATAACACCCAGGGCAGGCTGCCCACCCAACTCAACACCTCTGTGGCAGGGCCCACCTCGGTCCTTGTCCACAGCAGTGGTACAGTAAGTTAGTGCCAAGAGCTTTTAATTTACTATCTCAGGTTTACATAAGTAATGTTGTTGTTATATGCCGTCGAGTCAGACCCAACTTATAGCGACTCCACCTTGGGTTTCCAAGGCAGTATCACTACGGAAGTAGATTGCCCAACCTTCCTTCTGAGGAGTGGCTGGTGGGTTTGAACCGCCAGCCTTCTGGTTAG